CCAATGCAGGATCACTTATCGGTCGAATCGTCCCTGGATGGGCAAGTGACATAATCGGGCAGTTCAATGCCATGTGTCTTGTTACCACGCTTTCCGGTGTTTTGGTTTTAGCCTTTTGGCTTCCTCTAGAGTTTCATACCTCCTTACCTGGTGTCATTGTTTTTGCGTTGCTGTTTGGGTTTGTCAGTGGGGGATTCGTCAGCCTGGGGCCTCCCTGTGTTGTTTCGCTTGCAGACGATCGAGTCGATGAAATTGGTGTAAAGCTTGGTGGTTTCTGTCTCGCAATTGCTCTAGGTGCGTTAACTGGGCTTCCTATCGAAGGTGCCATAAAGGATAGAGAAGGGGACAAGTTCATAGGCTTGATGTGCTTTGCAGGTGCTACCATGTTCCTTGGTGGATTTTGCACTGGAATTGCTCGAGTAATTAAGGGAGGCTCACGCTTGATGAAAAAGGTTTAACAGTCTCTCTCTTATATATTGTTTAATTTCCTCTGATGATACTGTGCCGCTATTTCAGTCAATCTACAGTTGTTAACAATTAATAAAACTCCATCATTATTTCCTGGTGTTTCCCAGCTGTTTTTCTCTCTCTCTCTCTCTCTTTCTTTCTTTCTATATTTTTTTTAATGATTACAACTAACTACGTAGTGACGTATAACTTGCTGACTTGTATTTCGACTAGGTTTTCTGAGACTGTGTGGCAGTTGACCAGCTGTATTTATCAATAGATGTACTCCGTAGTTTGAGATAATTTATTGTCATCAGACGATTATAGCAACCGAATATTTACTAATAATATTTATTTACGGAACATTTCTGTCAGCCCTATCACCTACTATCTAGACAAATTATTATGGGCTAGTAAGGCCTAGGTAAATATTCTTCACAGTTACGAGGTTGCTATTCTTGCATTCTATGGACGGCCCTTTCAAGTAAAACTAGAATACCGCGCCGTCGACGCCGATGTTATATACCCCGAAGACTGCCTCATTTAATCGCCGACGAACACAATTGGTACAAATACATGTAAGAAATCTTGATATTTATGAGTACAGAGTGTTTTGGTAATAACTGAGTCCAACGAAGTGGACAAGTCATGGAGAGCATGAACCTCATCCGTTATCCTACCATAGACCTTTTACCGTCCGGTATTGGGGCTATAACATTGCTACTGCTGACTATTAGCATCGTTCTGCTGTCTCCAAATGAAATAGCAGATATTCTGGTTAATGTAAGTCTACTAAGCAGTCACTGATATGAAGTTAGGTACTGATAGAAACCAGGCTTTCTCAACCTGTACTCATCGTATATATGATGCAACCGGTAAAAGGGTAATGACTGGGCCTCGATATAAGTTTCCCAATGGCCAGATGGTAGACAAGTTTTTGGATGCCAAAAACAAAAGCTGGGAATGGGAGAAGAAATATGGAAAGACTTACCGCATCTGGGCGGCAACTATACCTGAGGTGTATGGATATCCTCCCATTTGAACATAAGATATGGTACCATTGTTAGAAGGGAAGAAGGCTAACATTCTCCTTGGTTGTTGGAAAAGCGTGATAACCGACCCAGCAGATGTTGAGGTTCTATATCGTCAATCTACCGACCACCTGAAAGCATCTCAGGCAAACGCAGGCTGGCTCCTCACACAGCTCCTCGGTTCCGGTCTTGGGCTTATCAATGGAGCCCGATGGACTGGCTTACGAAAGGCACTCGACCCAACTTTCTCACACCAAGCATCCATGAACCTTCTACGAGAGAGCCTCAATGTTGGTGCGGCAGAGTATGTGGCCGATATTCATAAGTTTGCGTTGCCATGCAAGCAGGGCACAGATGGAGATGAATTTATAATCAATGCCACGGAATCTCTCCAGCGATATCCGTTCTTCGAGGTGGCTTCAATATTCTATGGTAAGATGAGCAAGGATGAGCAAGAACGGCTCTGGGAGCTCGGCCGTCGTTATTCAGAGGTGTTTGCGTCAGTTGTGATGGGTGGCATCCATCGATTGAAACTAACAAAGTACCTCAATACAGCCACCTGGAAAAAAACGCGGCAGTACCAGGAGGCCTGGCACCAATTTAATAATGACATGTACAAGTCCCGAGAAATCAAGGATCCTAGCTGTGCAATAGTAACTCTCATGGATGCGGCGAAGAAGGGAGAGTTGACCCAGGCTGAGGCAAGTTGTTTCCGTTAATAGCATGACAAAAAGACGTGATATACACCACCTTTCAGCGCGATTAACTTTTTATTTTGCAACAGGTATATGACACCGTTGCAGAGTCGACATTTGCCAACCTTGATATTGTCACCCACGCCATTTCCTCATGTATCATCCTCCTAGCGGACGCTCCCAATGTCCAGACAGAACTTTTTGCGGAGATAGAAAAAAATAAGGGGAACAGTGAGGCATATATACCGCGAAAGGACACCCTCCTGCATCATTGCTTGATGGAATCACTGCGTCTCCGGCCAGTGTTAAGTGAGTCTGACTCTGAAGCAAGTGTGATGTAAACAGAAACTAACTTTATGGTTATAGCCTTCACGTTCCCTGAGAACCCTCCTAGAGAGAAGACCTTGGGCGGTTTCGTTATCCCCAAGCACACCACCATTATTGTTGACGCCTTCGCAATCAATATACGCAACCCATTTTGGGCCCCTGATAATCGCTCATACCGTCCTAGCAGGTTTGCAACTATCAAGCAAAGCCAGGTGAGACAGCCTAGTCTGTGAGTTGTATAAGGTGTTTCATCTCAGTTTTGACATATAACCTTTCTAGCTTCGCTACAACCTAGCAACATATGGGTATGGTCCGAGGAAGTGCCTTGGGCAGCATATTGCCGATAAGATCATCAAATCTGTTGTATACCACCTGTTCAGCAGGTATAAAGTCTCGCTAGAACCAATGCAGGCGCTCGACGGAGAATTCAAAGTTGACAAGACAAGCTGGGTAGGACTGTATGATGTCAATCTAAAGTTGAAACCGAGGGTAAGGGGAGTGGTATAGAGTGATTTGGCAAAATATTGCTTCCATGCTACATCGATAAAACGAAACTAGCCGAGTTGCGGTTGAAATTTGCCAATATTCCCGTTCCGGAGGGCCATTTTTGCGAGAGGATTTAAACTGTAGATTTAGATAAATTGCCGGTACAGATTTCAAGTAGAATCATGGCCGGACCTGAAGGGCACATCATAGGCGGTATACTAAAAAAATATACACCGAGCTTCTCTTCGGTGAATATATAGCGACATATTGAGATTAGGCCGTGCCGGATGATGGAGAGAATATCTGCCGACGGCGAATTATATATATCATCTGGGTTTGATCTCGGTATAACCATAACGGATGGATAAAAAACAAGACAGCACTATAACGGAAAGCATGGCACAAATGGACGATAATTGCATCAAAGAAGCACTGCTAAGCCGGCTTTCATCATCGAGTGCCGTGGTTGTGCAGGCAGATTCGGGTTGGAAGAATGCACTGAAAAGGTGGACGGGTATCGAGGCAGACCCCAGCAGCAGTTGTCCATCCTGTGAATGACAATGACGTTATAGAAACTGTTAGTTGGGAAAAAAAAAAGAAAGAAAGAAAAGAAAAAAATATATATCTCGTTGCTCATCTGGGTGTGCTTTAAATGAGTTTCTGACTGAACTTCTAGATCTCATACGCTGTCGAAAGTCGGAAGTAATTCGTGTCAGAGGAGGCGGACATAGCAACGGCTTTTCAACCGACCAGCAGCCCTGGAATGTCCTAGACCTCTCACAGATGAGAGATGTTTCAATTGATATAGAGAAAAAGGTGGCTATTGTTCAAGGGGGTGCAACAATGGGCGATGGATTGAGAGCTGCTGCTTCAGAAGGGCTAGCTATCGCGACGGGGACGTGTAACGAGGTCGGCTTGGTAAGTTAAGTACATCACCGCATGCATACCAGTGTGTGTCTGGTGTCTGCCGTTAACAACAGGATGCAGGTTGGGGCTGCTCTAGGAGGTGGTATCGGCCGTTTGCTCGGACATTATGGCTATGCAGCAGACACAGTAGTATCAATGCGAGTTGCGGTGGTTGGAAGCAGCGGAAGGGCACGGATAGTTGAAGCATCGCGGGAGATCAACCCGGACCTCTTCTGGGCCCTCCGCGGCAGCGGCCATTTGTTCGGAGTAGTCGTTGAGGCCACCTTTCGGGTTTTCCCCTGGCAGCATGAGACATGGCATAGCTGCCTTGCATTCCAGCCATGTGATGCCGGGCGGGTGGCAGAGGCAGTGGACCGGGTCAGCTATCGCGGAGGGATGCAGGGCCGGCTGGTCTTTTGCGCCCCCAATAAGCAGGTAGGCGGAAGACCTACCATGGATAGCAATGATATCAGGAAGAGTATAGTTGAACGGATGCTGATGGAGAATCCTCCCCTCTAGCCGATTGTTCTCCTGCAGCTGTGGTATCTGGGCAACCCCGAGGAAGCTGCTGAGAAGTTCGAACCCTTGCTGGGACTCCCGTTCATGGCAGACCACCCGCTGCATTCGATCGGGCGTCTGATACCGTACGTGAATCTCAACGACTCCAGCGAGAGGATCTGTTCCTACGTGGGGAGGAAGAACCTGGCAGCCTTCGGTATGCGGAGCATCTCAGAAGCTTCATGCATGGCCGCTCTTATGGTATATATGGACTTCATCACCCAGTACCCGGAAGCACTAAGGACGCACATTCTCACGGAGTTCTACAGCATGGACATGGTAAGTGAACTGGACCAGGACGGGGAGGAGACCTCGATTCCCGGAAAGATGCGGCGCGAAGTGAAGTACTGGGTGATGCCCCTGGCCTGGTACGAAGACGCCGCGCTGGATGATGCATGCGCAGGACTCAACCGGGCTGTTAGAGACGCCTTTCTGACGAATACGGATGGTAGCCGAGCTGAGAGTATTGCGTACATCAACATGCCCTTCGAGAGGGAGGCTGCCAGTAATGTCTTTGGCGATAAACAGCATCTAGAAAAGCTGCGGAGTCTGAAACAGAAATGGGACCCCTTGAATATAATTCGGGGTATAGTTGGTTTTTGTTAGAATTTGGCAGCTAACTAGTTAATCTTGTTTAATGATGGAACCTTGGATCCCACAAAAAGGGCGCGATTGACTCGATAAATAACTAGATGTCAAAACAGAAGCAGCAGCAACGAATATGATTGGTTAAATCAATGATGAGAACGAATATACGGATGCGTAAGGTGTTCCAATTGAGCCTATCGAGGTGTAGCTACATGAAGAGTTTTCATCACCGTAAGTACGGATGCGGGCTGACTAAGCTACATCCTGACACTAGATAACTAGTTAATGGTGATAATTGGCCCACCGCTGCCTTCGTCGTTACTAGTGATGTGACCAAGCTGCCACCCTTTGGAGATTGGAGATGAAAGCTATTGACGTCATAGTAGCCATTGAGTTATTATTGACGTTTATACCTAGTAGTTGTTATAACTAGAGGTTGTTATCTTCAAATCCTGTAAATTTTATGTAACTAGTAAATTTTAGCTGCACACAAGCGAGTACTACTCGACGCTGCTTTCTAGTTATAACCATGAAGAACGCTCTGCTTTACCGCCGCTGCGGCCGCAAACGCCGGAGTTCCTATCCGCGGGGGCCACTTTGCCCGTCGATCCTGGCCCGCTATTTCTGCTGGCTGTGCGGCGCGCCGCTGGAGTCCTGCGCTGCTACATACAGAATGAGCCGCCCTCAGTTGTGTATGGGAAGGAAGAGTGGTACTCTGCCTGGACGAGGCATCAATCGTACCGCTCCTTGCGCAAGCAAAAATTCTCTCCTTGCTTGCCTACTTCGCATCTCAGCGGTTCACTCGGGGGACAAAGAGCGTGGGTTAATCTTTTTCGTATGAGTACGTAACTAGTTCGTCGTTGCTACTGATGCTCGTTATGGAACTTGGTCTGACTTGAATGTTTGTGTCTAGTTATATTCAGCAAGAATGACAAGCTCCTCTCTCAGGGCTATCATCTCTCCGGAATAGGCTACACGCCTGGTGCCCGCACCTTGAAGGGGAGACATATTCTCAGTCTTCGAGATCCAGCTTCTGCGTGTATCGGGTTTACCAAGGAAAATTCGGATGCCTTGAAGGTGACCCCGGTGCCACATCCATTTACTCCTCATGATTCTGATGATGATAATTCTTCCCTTGAAGGATATCCCCTCCATTCTCGATGCTGGGATCTCATTCAACATAATATTGGGCCTGTGGCTGGTTTTAAACTGGATCTACTTGTTGCAGCATTACGGAAACAGTGGGATGACTTGATGCCTCAGCTAGTGGCGGCATCCACAAACTATTACTCGCCCCTCTATGCAGGGCCGTTTGATTACTTTTTAGCCGGTCGCCTCGGGCATTCAAAGGAATATCGGCGGGTACTTGCATTTCGGGATTACATGCATTGGGATAATAAAAGCTTTCCCCGACAGCCAACGTTGAGCTTGCCAGATCCTGTATTTATACCGGAGTTGGATTCATTATTCCAAAATTGCAGACAAAAGTCATCCCTTATTAGACGATCCTCAAAGCGGATTCTGACTCTTGATTATCGGCTTCCATTGGAGATACTGATGTGTATCGCAGACTATCTTACTACCCAAGAGCTATATACCATGCTGACTGCATTTGAAGAGGAGTTTCCCATAGAGTATTGGAAGCGGCAGATTCCGGTTGACCTCTTTTTTGAGCTGAACTACGTTGATTCGGAATCTTTTCCCTGGGCATTCTTTGTGTCTGAAGTTCTGAGCCAGAATCTGCATGAAAAATCCGGTGAATTGTGGAACAGAATGCATATTATGAAATTGTTGGCCCCGATAAAAGATTACATGTTACAAGACAAACGGTGAACCTTTTCTCGTCTTAATAGTTACATTCAAAATGCGTCCTCAACTCTGAAGCTCTTGATATCTCCATGGAATAAAAAGTTGTCTATAGTGTATGGAGTATCTCCCGCCTCTAACACGTTCTCTGCGTTAACTCGAGTGTGTATACAGCGGCCACAAAAGAACGAACAAGCAAGGTAAACAAACCACAAGAATCTGATTAAAAAGCACACGCGATCTCACCGACCGGTCACTAAGGACCTACACGTAATCGGGAGCTCTCAAACATTAATGGTTCTCTCGAACATACACAAGCAAATCCTGTATGTCCTGGCACTGTCTTTCGACATGAAGGTGCCCGTCATGAAGCGCCGTCAATTGTCGACTATCCTCGTCAAAGAGGACAAACTGCGCCCATTTCCCTACTGCCACAATCCCATATCTGGGGCGCTTTCTCTTGGGCTCAAGATGCGGCAAGTAGTCCAGCAGCTGAGCTTTAGCTCCCTCCCAGGCCGAGTCCTGTGTCTCCTTTCTAGGAGCCTTCGCTTGCACAACAAGAAATTGTACCTCATAACATTGTTTTCCTTGTTGGATAAAATGGAGACCAAGAAGGTCTGTAACCCCCCTGGGGAAAGACCCTGGGCGCGAATCATATACTCATGTTCTGCCTTAAAAACTGATGCTAAAATAGCTATCCAGATGCCTGTAACGACCCCTTCGGCATCGTCTTTTCGAAGTCTTTCAAGTGATCGTTTTATCCCGCGAATTTCAAGATACTATCTTTTGTGTTAAAAATCAAAATTTTGGTTACATGATACCCAATTACTTACGGTGTCAGTCTGGCGTTGTTGAGTGGGAAGATGAGCCATGGTAGTAGGTTTTGGTATCGTTCCAGACAGCAGCTGTTGGTTTGAGATTGGAATATCAAGATGATAAATTCTGGGATACAGTCTTGAGCTCTAGCTATGTGGCTTCTTGATGGGTGTATCGAAGGGGCGCGTTATATCCTTGAGGTTCAGATTGACTCCTATTGCTAATTTTTGCTGTACTTTCTATTCAATCTCTCTTTGAATTTGATAACACATTTAATTTTACTATTATTGGATATATAAGTGCACTAAATTGCTGAATATAGATGTTTCTCCATATTGTTTTATCAATAACAGGCCAATAACCTGCATTGTTGAATGGTATTGACTGCTTATAGCCTTCACCTCCTGAACTCATATCAAGTTCGGGGCTTTTTATGTATGATAACTCCAAAACAGGATAAGTCCTAGTAAATGAATCAAATAGCACTATAAATACTGTCCCTGGTGTGTTCCTGGACCCTGGGCATCGTGATGAATGTGTCTACCTTAATGGCCTGCTTTCTAGATACCTTTTATGAAGCCCCTAATACGTTAGTCGACGACTTTAGTAGAGCCAAAGACACCTCTTGCCTTTATATTAAGCGGCTCGACAAGACCATCGCTAGCAGTAGCCCAACCTGGGTATGTTTAAAGGCCGTAGCTTACTAGTATAACTACCGGGGCGCAGGGTTGAGTTTGGAGATCGAGTGTCACGGAATTGGAACAGCTATTGGAGACGATAGTCAATCCAAAAGCATCCTTGAATGAAGCAGGGCCGCCAATGTTATAAGAGATAGCTCTAATCTACTTTCTAGCTTTAATACTGCGAATTGCGTGAGTTGTCTCCCTCTCTATATCTTGACATTGTTGTGTTTGGGACGGTTGATATTTAACTACCGTTCAATGGAGATGTATGCTAGGTCGTTGTTCGTTGTAAGGTCATCGATTGCCTGGCGGGTATCATCGGCGCCTCTTCCAGTATCAAAACCTACTCATAGACTATCAGTTGCAGAAATTCAAAAAATCCTAGGGAGCATCTGCCTTCTTCATTACAACCCTTAAAGTCAGCTTTGATTCACTGAGCCATAGGGATTTTAACTTGGTAGGGCCCCCTGACAATATCTCAATTAAAAATAATATATTTCATTATATATAGAGAGGGGTATAGATAGCCTGTTTAGATTTTATAATCATATCATTTCAGGTGTATAGTTTATTTGGGTTGACAACCTGTTTCTTCCCGACTAGACTGATATGCCCGATATCAAATTGCATTCTCGAATCACCAATCATTCCTGGAAGGGACCATAGCTGGTTGCTCTTCTCTAGACCCTGAGTACTGGATAGGACATTCTTATCACGAAGTTCCTCACCAAAGTCTACTCCGAAGCGAAACAAACTGTATCCATCCAGTGTATCAGACCAGCGACGGCCAAAGCCATACATCACGCCCAAGACAATACATCCTATGGCCCAAATTCCCAGAAGTATGGTCGAAACCACCGGTGGAACAACCCCGGGTTCTAGAACCTTTCCACGGCGAGATGATGTCAAGTTTGTGTGGAGATAGCCGCCATTCAATCCCGTAGCACCATCGTACATCAGCTGCAAGCCATCAACAGCGTGGGCTTGTAGAACCGACTGTAATAGAACCTGTGGCTGTACAAAATGATCATAGCAGGCTGAATTGGAAAGGATATAGGGGAGGGGTGAATTGGTCGACTCGAAGATTTCGGTATAGCGGCCTAGCAAAATGGATATTGCAGTGGCACCAAATCGAGGTTGCTTGGCCTCATATTCAGCCGCCGACCATATTGGGCTGGGTGATTTTTCAAACTCGCTGAAGGTACTTGTTCGGGAGTCCAGTTTGGCGGTACCGAGATCTGATATGCGACGGCATTGGACTCCAATAGGGGGAGCCAAAGTGATATTTTCATTGAAGTGATCGTAAGCGACGAAGGAAACAAAGTCCTTTACATTAGTATAGGTGTCGTTTGACCAGTCAAAGAAGGAAGCATTACGCTCAAATTTTCCGCTGGGAGTCCGGATGATAGGGCTGCCCATGCCTGCGACGGTAGGTTTGAGGGTATAGTTGAAAGTTATTCTGTCGTCTCCGTCGTACGAACAAGGGCGACGAACCTGCCATAGCGCATACTCCAAGATCTCAGGCTTGCCAGATTCGAAAGTAGGCTCAGAGCCGTCGTACGTGGACGAGACGAAGTCATGGCTCACTCCCATCTCAGTATATGCCCAAAGATTATCTCCACCGATTGACTGGCTGCTGTTGAAGAAGGTGATGGTTGCACCAGAAGGTGTCGCGAGGGTTTTATATCTGATAGCACCGTCGACCATACCAGAGGCATTAGACTTCAGAGCTGGAGATTTCTGGGAAAGGATTGTGAAGTCCGAAGCTGACTGGACCATCGAGCAGCTATACTGAAGCCGAAGTCCCCAGGCCTTACCACCGATAGGCGTCGCCGCCTGCGGCCCAAGGAAGAGCTCGGGAATTCCGGGGTTAGAGGAAAGGGAGTTTGGCAGCGTGGTTAAAAATTGGAAGTTCTCACGATCGACCTGTGGAGGACTGTAGGCGATACCAATGCCCGGAATCACTGCGGATGCTGTTTTCCAAACTGTCCCGCCTCGTTTCTGAGTTTGATAAGGCTCGCGGCGATGGAAGTTGCTCCATTCACGGCCAACGACCATCGGCGGCGCCGACGATTCGATATACCCGTCTGCGAGTTCCATAGACAAACCGGAAATTGGGAATGCGACTAAAGGCACTAAGCTTAGCACGGCGAGAAGATACCATAGTCGGCCTGCGAGGTTCTTTTCCATGGAAACAGCCCGTTGTATGCATTTCATCCATCCTCCTGGCCCGGCCCAGGTGCTCCCACTATGCATCAGGAGCCGCATTGCACTCTTTGGCGCCCAGAAAGACACTTGTAGCATAGCAGCTTCGACGCCAACAAGACCATATCGTGAAATGTTCAAACCGAAAACACCAACCACGAACCAAGAATAGTAAACCCATGTTCCATCGCGAGATCGATATTTAACAGTATCGGTGTCCTTGAAGAAGAATAGCCAAATCATTAAAAAGTAGATGAAAATGATGACCGGGCCTAGGATCAAGACAAAGGTAGGGAACCAAAATCGGCGCAACGGGTATCCTCTCGCGGGGGCATTTAAATCCGTGCACGACGGGTCAGGACTGCTATCTGGCGCTGTGGAAAATAGCTGAATAGCAGATTCACCAACATTTTCCTTCGGGGCCATGGCGAGGGTTTAGACCGTACAGTCGCCAGTGCACACAGTGGTGATACGTCCCGGTCTGGGTATTATGAATACAAAAATCCTTTATCTTTCCTTGGCTCGTTAGTAAATCGTTCGCCAGTGCGTTTCATTAAATCGTATCGCGTAGTTGATGCTCAATAACTACACCAAGGGGATGTCCTGTCAACCAGCACCTGTAAGAGAAATTAACAAGTCGAGAAGTTTTCATGTTGAAAGGTGAAGAATTGGGAATTTATATCCAGACGCTCGAGCTCTCGGCCCTCTCTCATTTCCCGCTGTCCCCTGCGCCTCTCGCCCATCTCAACCCTCCATTGGTGCCCTGGAGCAAGCCAGGGCCAGCTCTGCATGCATGACGCTCGTTGTTTAGTGGGTTATACAGTCACGGCCCCGTTGGTATCTCCTGTTTAACTATGGGGAGGCTTTCGAGATACAGCCTAACTAATTCAACTTCTTCTCTCCTCCACTTATGATATGACTCCATTCACATTCACAGAGCTAAGAGACAAATGAGGCTGTCCGTGAGCATCGTGGGGAAATTAGTTGCTTGTTGAAGGATTTGGGTTTCGTATCGGGGAGACAGAATCGCGTTGAAGGATCAGCTACTCTATAACTAACGAGTTAGTTAAGTATTTAGTTGGACTTTTTACAGGTCAAGTTAGTTCAAAGTTTCCACGTGCTTAATTAAAATCGTGTTCAGTTTTTGTATTAACTATTCTATTTCAGTACATCCCCATCCGGTGTCTCCCATTTGAGACCCGGTTATGCACGCAAAATGCTCCGTTCTCCAATGGCATAAATCATCCCGTTCCAGACCCCGTCCCTCCCCATCTCACCAGATTCCCTTCCCCTCAAACCGTTGTCAGCACCAACATCCGCAGGGCCACTTCCTGCGCTGCTCCCAAAAGCCGTTCCTCTGCACTCCTCGCACCCCCAGCACCCCCAGCACCCGTTGCCGCCCAAGCCCCAGTTTTCTCCCCTCTCTGAATCTACATCCACAGATGAACGGGCCCAGCAGTCCGTAAAGAAGCGAATAGATCTTGGATGCCCGTTCAGCGATATCAAGTTCCTTGATTTAACAGGGCTCCAGGACTCCGAGATTGAAGCTTGTAACGATCCCGCGTGCGTGGTCGAAGACGATGCATCTAAGCAGGCTCCTCGCTCAGGTTCGTTCGCCCGCTCCCCAATCTCTCTTGATTTCTCCGCTCCTGCTCCAGCGCCTTTTGAGTGCCTGCGTATCCTCCCAGCAGTTTGCTAACCAGTCTGCAGTGCCCCAGCTATCTCTAAAGCATTTCTCAGACACCGAATATGCACAATCCAAGTTTGACGGAAACACAAAGATTCTAGAGACTGTCGAAATTCCAAAATCCCCCACTCTGAAGTGTTCGCCCGTGGTGCCTGCGACTAGAGACGGGATTAAATCAACGTTCCCCTTGCGCTCGAAGTCGCCGGCAGACGTGACGCCCGGGGGCGCTTTAGGTAGGATTTGTAGCTTGTTCCCTTCCCGCTCCGACCTTTCCCGAAGCCACCACCTCTCTCTCCTTGCGTAGCTGACTCTCCATCCGTGCCCTAGCGCCTATCCTGATCGACTCAGATGACGACAAAACCGATGTTGAAGGCCCGCAGGGCACCGCAGGCCATGCGCGCACTGAGCCACTGCCCGATTGCGATGCTACGGAGACTCGTGCAGCTCCCCGCGACGAGGATGAGGGGAGTCAGCAGATAAAGGGAGAGCCATCACCGTCACCGTCGCCATCATCACCTCGGCCGCTGCGCGTGGTGGCAGTGGAGGTTCCCGTCCGCCGTGTCACCCCGCACGTCCCTTCCAGCCAGTGTCCATCGGCCCCCATCGCTCGGGAGGCAGACGATAACGAGGGTGACGGCGACAGTGGCTATGTAGACAGCGAGGGCGAGGACGATGCTGCGGCAACATCAAAGCGGCGGAAGGTCGCCATACCCCCGCCGTCCGCCCGTCGCGCACCCTCGAGCCCGTCCTCCCTGCCGGCGGACGCCATTATGTCCCTGACGCTTGGAGTCAGCTCAGTCGTTCACCCTTGTATCACAGAACATATACAGGCATATGCACAGGCGAATGAAAGGGCTGCAGGTAGCGTGGTGGACACGTCGACGCTGGGGTCCAATATCATCTCCGCCGTGGTGGCCCACTTGATGGGGAGCCCAGCGGTGACCGGCAGTATAGCTACCGATAGACTCGG